TGGGGTTAGAGAATAGAATCTGATCAACCAATGAAAGATCATGGTTTCAGCTTCAGCATCAGCTCCCACAATTTAATGATATTTTAAAATTGCTGATATCTCTCAATTAAAACTACAATCATTTAGCTTTACAAAATACGGAGAATTAGCGACATGAAATTTTCGATTTTTCATATGTTTATGCTTTTGGCGTTGATTTGCACACTTAAAAGTCATTTAGATCTGATGATCCGGTGTAACATTCACACAAATGCATTCTCGTATTTAGTAGAGGCGAAAGTTGCATACTAAACAGTGTAACACACACCCCTTAACAAACCTGCTTGTAACCGGTTTTTTTTTGGGTCAATCACGGGACCAATATTTCTCGACACGGTTTTCAATTGACATCTCACCTTTAACTCTAATACGCGAAGAGACTATGTTCGAAATAGAAAGTGAACTAGCTTGTGTAGCGCTACGCTCACCTAATTTTTCACAACCCAAATACTCAAGAACAGGCATTCGCTCTCCAACTTCTCCCTCTCCTGGTACACCACGCTCGCTATCACTTTCTCCTTTCTCTAGACAAATAAGTACTCCTCCTCCGACCATACAATCAGACGACGACTCAAGAGGCTTGTTCGGTTCACCTGTACGACAACGCTCGCCGAATGTCTCTGGGATAGTACCTTACACACTGAAAATAATAAGAATTTATAGGTGTACGTACTTCGAGTTTGTACAATTGGAAGGAGCGTTGAATTCGTGGGTTAGTTAGAAGAATTGCAGTGACGAGAGCAATACCAGCCAATGGGAACAATGCTGAATTCAAATTGATTTTTGATCAATTGTAGACCCTGTGGATAACAAGTTCAAACGAATGTTCTTAGATTGGCGTTATGAGGGGCGGGACATATACGACATCATTGTTACAGATGGGATACTGAAGGTAATTGCAATAAAGCTTTGCAATTGGTTTATTGTACCTTTATTTTTACTCTAGCAACTCACTCTTAATACATTGTAACAGGACAAGGTCCTTCTCCATCCGAAATACAACAAATTCGTACGAACATCAAAATTGAAAGAGAATTCATACATCAAAGTATGTTCGACTCACGAAATGTATCGAGATATACGCGCATGCATGTCTCTTTATACACAATTCATCATTGTTGATTTTTTTTTTTTTTTTTTGCATAGACCCACAAATATGCTGTGCGAACAATATCTTCTCTGGACACTGGGCGGAAAGAGAAAATCCCCATCATAAACAATATCACGACAATATTCGACGAAGATGCGCTTGATAGCGCCTTTTCTTGTGATGAATCGGTCTGTCATATATTTGTAGTCTATAACTATTTCAATGCTCATTTTTTTACGAATATTAATTGATCGGAATTTTTTATTCTACCATTGTAGTCATTAGAATGGATATCCCCATCATCCCAGCAATTTATCCCATTGGCAGCGTATAGGAAATGCTACTTTTCTCTCCGCAATGACGATTTCCTTCGCGAGGATCCAAGATGGAATGTAGACATTACAATGGACAATGTTGTTATTAGTTACTTTTAAATGCTTATTTTCGCATATACGCTACGGTCAAATTACCTGACAAACGACCTCTTCTGTCTTCATTCTTTTCTATGCTATGTCAGGATTTCCGTCTTCCTCTCACGTATCCAACAATCCACAACGTAATAGTCACCAATTATGGTACTTTCCCTCCGATATCCACTCACTCCAAACAACCCATGGTTGGGCGCGTCATTTCCAAGACGTCGATGCAGAATTTCTCACGGCCAACCGATTACAGACACGAATATCCATGGAAGTTTTCGTTCGAAATACAAGACTGTTCCCACAAGTTAACCGTGACTGTCTGGAATGAGAAAGCATTGGAGATATTTAATAGTGTCAAGGTCGGATGTTTGATCTGGTTGAACGACTATTGTGTAAAGAGAATAATGACAAAGGACCGACGTATTGCTGGAAAAGGTGTGGAGGTGACTATTAATCCTAGAGATCCTGAAGGGGATGTAAGAATACTTGGGGGTAAGTTGGAAAATGAAAGAGGGAGAGTATGGGAAGAATGACGGCAATCATGGGAAGCAATGTATGTGATCTCAGTTGATATTCTTGAAAAGTGTACACTCATAACGAGACGTATGATGTTCGTTCACTTGTCTCTCCATAGATCATAATCTTGGAGGTTGGTCCGACGCAAATAAGAAAACCAGGTTTCCGCCTATTGAAGTGTGTTTCATACAGAGTGTTCACCACTATCGTACGCCTGATGGTTATCCCGAGTTTGATTTAATCGGCCGTGTCATATACGTTGGTCGGTTAGAACAAGTCAAAGGTGAGACGTAAGTATTGACTACCGTTAAATCTCGCATTTTGATGACAGTTTCCATTCGCACCCATTCACACTTTTTTTTTTGGTCCACTCACCAAGTTCAAACCATGAAAACCAAATGACCGAATATCGTTGGGTAAAACTTCTCGACACTACATCACCCCGCGAAATTCTCCTTAAACTATTCACAAATTCCCAGCCAGAAATCATCTCTAGATTATCACCCGGTGACATACTGCATGCTACGCGGTTAATATGTAAAAGTATCGATTACAATTCAGTTACAAAGAGAGTTTTGTATCTTCGCCCAACAATATGGAGTCAGTATTATATATTTGTGGAGACGAATAATGAGTGGGGTGTGCCGGATGAAGTCGATTGGATTGATTCTGAGGTATGCATGGAAGCGAGAAGAAAGGGATCATCTGTTGATTTTAGTACTGATGATAATCGATTCTTTCCCTGGGTGATTCTTAGGATATGTACTTGGTTCCTTCGTATACAAAGGAATTAAAGAAGATTTCATGTGGTACGTTGGATGACCATGCCGGAAACTTATTCTCGTCGTATATACTGTAATTGCAGATTTTTGTTAAAAAATATTCCGTATCTCTTTTTATACAGTCGGCGGATATTTCAATCTTCCAGTCCCATTTAAAACCGCCAAGCAAATGATGGATCATTCCTCGTACATTTCCTGTGGAATCGAGTATGCACTTTAACATATCATGTCACAAATGATATCAATATACAATAATTAATTCCTACTCGTTATATAGTATTCTAAAAGAAAGAGCAGAAGATCTCTTTGTCGGTGAACGATATCGATGTGTAATCCAAGGTACATTATTACAACTAGATTTCGGTAATAACATTAAAGTCTCCGGTCTCGATAAAACGTTTGCCGTCGATCTATCGGATGATGCTAACAATTGGATAAAGCGATTCGAGACTGTGGCTGTCGAAATGGATCTATATCCCAGCGTGAGTACTGTTTCATTATTTTGTATAATTTAATACATTCGGTTAATACCCAACGTCTTTTCTTATCCTTAGCCGCCGGATGTATCCATCGACGACATAACGATTTTCCCAATAACAGTATCGATTAGTGGACAAGATAACGACAAAATGGTCAAGATACATATAATTCCTTCCGCGTCTGATGAAGGATGCGGGCGATTTTTAAGCAAGACTGGCTTCAGACAGTGGCATCTCAGGACATTGATTGATTTATTTGAATTTGCCCTCATCGATGAGACAATGCCTGAGAGCGATAATAAATATGAAGTCTTCAAATCATGGAGTTACGAGGATTTGTTCGAGGTGAGAGAGGATTGTGGAGGAAGCGAGAATGCGCGATGCATATGTAATGTTTACTGATAAAAAGCGAACGTACCTATCTTTGTAGAGATTGAATGCATTGAAGAATGAGCAGTTGATATTTATGTTGGACATTGTGAGAACAAGAGCAAACGATATCGTCATTGTGCTCACGAAGATATTTCCCTTGGAGCAATGAGTTAATGAAACGGACAATGTAAAGAAATGTAGGTTTCTTAATCTCCAATAGAATAAGTACATATATTAATATAGAAGACTTGGTGTATAAATGGATTTTATTTCGGACTCTTGATACTTTATTGAGTAAAAAAAATATATATATGTATAACAATTAGTCCAGTTCAACTGAATATGTGATAACAATAGCATTACCTACCCAAACGCTTAAAGTTGGCACATCAAGTAATGATGAATGAAACAAGATTAGTGTTCCGCATGATGTTTCTTTAGCTTGGAATTCATGTAGGCTATATAGATTACAAAATTAGACATGAGCGCGAATGCACGAGAGTAACATTGAAAGCAGACGAAATACCTTTTGGATTACGAGGATCGGTGTCATACGGTGGATCTTAATCAAACAATAGGGAACAAGAGGAGTTTAATATTGAGTTACTTTCTGAATATATTTTAAATAATAACTCTCAGAATACCAGAGTATGCCGCATAGCGACAATTTGGGCAGCCAAAGAAAGAATTACTTACGGCTTTGTGCCGCGCTTTCCAACTTCCAAACACCAACATAAACGATAGTGGCAGCAATTATAAATGGTGACAGAGGTTTAAGTATGGGTACTGGCCACTTGCGAAGACCGAACAGCGTCATTTCTCTAGTTGAAAAGGACCGTAGAAATTCGCCTTTCAATGTTCTCTCTACTATTTATTTTAATGCCTAACCCAAACTTTTATTTCAACATTGTATGACAGTTGTACAAACAGTCACGTCATCCCTTTATAAATTTGAGAAAGCGAATGACCAAGACAAGGAGTTTGTAAACCGAATTTCTAATCAATACAGTGAAAAAGTTGTTACATCCAATATGATAAAGATGACATACATAACGAGAAGCAATTTGAGCTTTGAGATCATGTGGACGTATTTCATTCTCGTAATTACCAATGCATCTAACAAATCCTTCCTTTTCGTAATTATCCAATGCACGACGTAATGACACCGCGTCTTGGAATGCAATGTTGGCGGCTGTAATAATAAAGATTTGCTATACAATCAACCATTCTACTTAGCGAAAAGAAATTACAAACAACATATCTACTCACCCTGGCCCCGAAAAGGCGACATTCCACAGATAGAATCTCCCAGTAAAGTCACCCGACTTGCTTTACCCTCCTCTGGTACTCCTGCTACTTCAAATAGTGCTCTCTTCACTGGTGGCACATAAGTCATACCGCCAACTTTCACATCTTGCGTTCTTGCTAGTTTCCATAATTCCAACAAAGTATCGGTCAACTCGCATCTTTTCCACTTCATCAAGAATTTATTAATGTCTTTTACTACATCCGCCGGAGAGCTGACCGCGTAATTGGTTTCAGCAGAGGGAAACCCATATTGCAACGTCATGCGATAGAACGTAGCAGAATCTTCGGTGATTGAATGAAGTCGAGTGGTTACGAGAAGCTCGTGTCCATCGGGACCAAGGAAAACTGTAGCCGAAGCATGTTTGGCGAAAGCATGGTAGCGTTTGGCTAACGAGGCAGGTACGAGAACGTCTGTTGGGACAATGGTTACGCCAAGGTGTTGTTTATACGAGTTTGGAAATTTCTGCGATCTTACTAGGAAAAAAAAAAGAATCATCAAATGAGGATACTTTAGAAAACACGAAACGCCAAACTCGATGAAACAACGTCCTGTAAAATAATCGTGACTTTTTCACGAGTACCTATTGAATTGACACCATCTGCTCCAATAAGCACATCTCCGACTTCGTCTGTTCCATCTGCAAAGCAAATCCTGACGCTGTTTTCACTTTCTTCATATCCGATAACCTGTTTGCTCCACCTAACATCCACGCCATCTAGCAATAAATTCCTCAAGCCTGGTCTATATCCCATCATCCATGCAGTTTTTTTCTCATCTATTTGTGCCAGATCGTGTACATCTTTCGCCTGTTTGGCTCCGAATATTACAACCCGTTTTCCTGATTCGTCAATGATTTGTGCTGAATGGCATTCATTCTCAATGTGTGGTGGGAGCACTTCGGATAATCGAGCAATGAGGTGCGGAGGCAGGAGATGGAGAAGAGCCTTGGCACCATAGTTGTAGACCTGTATGTGATGGCCTTGCCACCGAGCTTTTGTGTTGAATACATTAGGCAAATGAAGATGAGTATTTTGAAGTCTACCTACTCTACCTGGAAACAGATCGATTTACCTTGTGGTCCAGCATCTCTCTCAAACACAATTACTTCGAATTCTTTCGTTGGATGATTAAGCAGACCCTGTGCGAGCGCCAAGCCTGATATACCGGCACCTGCGATCAGGATTCTTGGTGGCATTGTTGTATGGATATCGACATGAACTTGACAAAGAAAAGTCCATGTACGATTGGGTAAATCTATGATAACGCAACTGGTGCTAATGTTATTACCATTTAAAGTCTAAACATAATAGCATTACATCCTGGCTCGTGTATGCCATATAAAGTAAGCTCTCTCGTTTGGATGTGTTATTTCACGTGAAATGACATGCAAAAATTTAACTTTCCAAGGATAATTAAAGACCAAGGCATAACACTTGTGGCTCACTTGTCACTTATTTGTCCATATTCTTGCACATGCACGAGATAAGAGGACTGGATCTTTTTGCATGCAGTTTAAATTTCCTTTGCACAGTAGTAATTATCGGCTTCATGACAACACGAATAATCTACAGAGCTGGAAGAACTGCTCTTAATTACGATTGGATAAATAGCCAAATTACTAGCAAATTTATTAATTATTAACCAGTGCTATTATAGTACATATTCTTCTAAATGATAACAAAAAGTTCGTTCAATCTACGGTTAACGCGTGATCTGGTAAATATGCATCGATTTTCTCGAGAAAGCTTTTCGGATTTAAGGCAATGTACGAAGCTAATATCAAACCGGTTAATAAATACGCTAGTCGGTTATCAAGTTTCGCGTTTAGTTGAATCGCTGCTGTAAGTAATGTCTTAACCGGCTACATTGAAATATGACTTGCTAAGATGCCTTTAAATAAATAACGCAGAATATCTCAGACAAGTAAATTATGTGTATTTTATTCAATAGTTTGTGTATATCTGCCCAGCACATTTAATGAGCCTTTCTATGAGCCACTCTTCGCTCAAAACTATTTGACCTAATCAAGAACAACTCAATGAAACAACGTATTTTTATTAGTGGGAGATGGACCAATGGCATAAAATTTAGTCATCACAAATTAAAATAATTTAAATAGACAGCACAATTTATCGGGGGCATTTTGTTTACGACTAATTGTTGACTGCTATATAGATGTATTAATTTCCTTAATATTATTAAGAATAATCAAATTAGTTACAGACTGTTGTAAAGACTTTCTTAAACACAAAGCGGTCTATAAAGCATAGTAATAGTGACGCTAAATGTAGTATAACAAGAACAGCACCATTGGAATTGATTATATAATTTAAATTTGCATAGAATTAGTAAAGTACACGGCTAGAAATAAACTATGCTTTTGAATGTGTTTTATTGGTTTTTATTCAATCTTTGTTACTTGTGAATAGTTTATGTCATCTTTGCAAAAAACGTCTGCCGCCATTCGGCCACAAGCCCGAAAGAGATTTATTACTGCAGTTGGATGGAAATGATGTTGTAGAACAATAGCAACGAGAAGATGCCGGAAAACGCCGATTTTTAAGATCTTTAATTCATACAATTAGTAATAATCCCGCAGGTATTCAGATGTCGGGATAAGGAATCTGGTCTTCCAAATGTAATTATTGACTTATATTGTCGCAAAAGATTATTTGTGAAAGACCAAAGAAATCAACTCTACAGATCAAAGACTTGGACGATATCTCTATGAGCGTTGACCCAGAAACATATTAAGCGATAGTGAAAAAACGGAAAATATTAGCATATTACGCGAGGTGAAAAAAATGTGGGTGGAGGGCAAGTCAATGATGATAACAATAAAAGTACGAAAGCCTAACAGATGAAACGCAGGATTGCTATTAAGAACGTCAATACAAACAGAGATATCACGCACAAGCAACGATAATATAGCCAATCGGAAAGTGCGTCTGTTGCTGACGAAAGTGGCTTTATATGGCACCATTGCAAAGCCAGTGTTACTGGAATGACCGCTTATTGATGTTAATGAACCATTTCTAAGAACAATGAACGCATATGAGAGGTCTATTCTGCCGGTCAATTAATTGCTGAATTCTCAATGAGATTTATTAATGTAACGGGGCAAGAAATAATTATAAACAAATTGAAGGCATTGTTGAGTGAGAAGAAATCGTGAAATGAGATTCCTTGCCGAATCTACTTAATTCAAAAAATAAATAGCGTCTAATAATAGGGAGACCATAACATAGTCGCAACAGGTGAAATTTATTCTTCATACATGCCCTAGCTCGTTTAAATTCTCATAATACGTCAAACCCTTTTTATTAACGGTTCAAATGATATCAATATAATTGAGCTCTACAAATCGAATTTTAAAGATATCAAGTCGCTCATAACATTTATCCAATGGTAAAGTCAATTTAACGCTACAAAGAAAAATATAAGTATGGCCAGTTTGCTTGAGCACTGTCATTAATTATGAGAGTTAAAGGTGGAATGAAATTACTTTGATAGAATTAAATATTGAAATGCCAATTCTTAAAGAGTATATAAACTATGCCTTTAAGGTGATTTCATTTTACATGGATATATTGATATACACAATTGACCCGACTAACTTTAAATATCATGCTGCAGGTTATGAAACGATTAACTAGTGAACTTTTGTATATTACTTTTGATCATATCATCAACCTGGAATATAATGCATACTAAACATAAGCAAAAACAGCAAGTAGATCTTGGGAGACTCCACAACAATGACATCACTGCACCACGTAAGAATTTTCTATTTACTACATTTCAAACTGTAACGCCTCAATACGAGGCTACATTTGCCAAGATCTGCTTGTTCATAAAGTTAGTAATATTAACGCGCTGTCAAGGGCTATTAGTCCACTTTTTAATCACATGATTTTAATATTAACGAGTATATAGAGAAACCGATGATCCATTTCACAGATTTTCTTAGTCTCTTTTTGCAGCATTAAAAATATGATGGAAGGCGGCCGTCATATTGCTATCCTTGGTGGTGGTATTATCGGATGCACCATAGCGTATTATATTACACTACTAAAAGAAGACCCGAATTTAGAAATTACTGTTATTGAGAAAACGGACATAGCGTGTGCCGCTTCTGGAAGAGCAGCGTAAATGTTGAAGCTTATGCATTTATGGGAATATTGATTTCTGCCGGATATCGCTCAACGTTACTATCCGACTTGCTGAAAGTGGTTACCAAATTTTCATATGGTTATTTGTGTAAAACCTTACAAACAAGCTTGGGTAGGCGATGAGGATAACCCTGCAGAAATACAATTGTGGAATCTACAAGTGAATTTTATTACCAAAAATTTACTTGTGGGACTCGTTTGCATCAACTATATTAACTCGAACCATTTCAAACATCAAATAGAGGCTTTATAACATCCAACTGGAATGATGGAGGACCGCTTCAGGATCTTACCCAGAATAGTTTCAGGCTCCACGCAGAACTTGCCGAAACTTTAAATGGCAAGGTCACTTATGATTATCGACCGATACAAACATTATCTATCACAGCTTCGGTAAGAGCGCAAAATGCCAAAGAACCGCCGATCGACTGGTTGAAAGGCAAACTAATACAGAAGGCAGAATGCATTGGCACTACGAAAACAACGGCTCAACTTCATCCGTACAAGTTTTGCCAGACTCTGATTAAAGAAGCAAAATCGCGAGGTGCGAAGGTGCGTATAGCATCCGTTGAAGGTCTTATATTTGATAAGTACAAAATAACAGCTGTTCGATTGAACGATGAAGTGATATTACCAGTGGATACAATAATCGTAGCAATGGGGCCATGGAGCGGCCCTTGTTTGCAATGGTTGGTTAAACAGGGCGATAGAATGTATTCGTTGCCGGATGTAAATGGGCAGCGTGCACATAGTTTACTTTTAAGACCCTCAGTCCCATTATCTCCACATATATGTTTCATGGCGTTAAGTCTAGGCCATAAATTCAGTGAACCAGAATTCTATCCCAGACCAGATGGAGATGTTTTTGTCTCTGGGGAGATTGATAATGGAGTTCTCCCGAAATCAGCTAACGAATTTGAACCCAACCCGACATCTATTAAAAATCTGAAGAGAGACTGCAACTTATTATCGCCTGACATTTTGGGAACGGCAACTGTAGTAAAGGAAAATTGTTGTTGGATGCCCATTTCTTCGGATACTTTGCCTCTAATAGGGAAAGTGCCATGGTTGGATGGAGTCTATTTAGCAACTGGGCATAATGTATGGGGTATTTCTAACTGCACTGGGACTGGTTTAGTAATAGCAGAGATGGTGTTGATGGGTCAGGCCCAAAGTATCGATGTGAGGGCCCTTGCACCTCTGAGGCCAAAAAATTCCAGAGTGCATCAATGAATAGAGAATGTCTATTTAACATTGTGTCAAGATGCTAGTGAACAAGAACACAGTTTTAGTAAATTAGACCAGGCAAAGATTTAAAAAACTGGAGCTGATATCCCATATGAATAGAATGTACAATAGGCAACGGAAAGATATCAACTGAGTAGAAATATGTGCTGGGGTTCTTTCATTGAGAGAAAAAATTGACATATCAGTAGACTCTTACATATACCATCTAATGCAAGATGTATATATAGAAAAAATTCAAAAGTGATCAAAAAAGCCAGTAGTCTATTGTCAGCAACAATTGGACTTGCAGAGTAGAAATCATGTGAGGCATACTGCAACAACCAAATAGCACCACACCATGTATTAGGTTTAAAGCTGCTATACGTCACAATAGTACGATCCTCTATCGTGTTACTGTTGTGCTGCCTAACGAGGATAGCGTATCTATGAATCATCCTTGAGATTTCGTTTTATGCCGTCCTTAACTCGACTTGCAGTCGTTGGGTGTCTTTGATAAAAATAATAGGGTTGTAGCTTACACTCAATTGGTTAATACTCGTAAACACTTCTAATTATTGTCTTGATGTTAGGCCGCCGTAATTGTACAAATAGCGGCAGAGTGATTGTACTGCTTTCACCAGACCACACTTCTTTCTCCAGAGAGCGACTCTTTGTCACTTTTTTAGTTAGACCATTCAACGCTTTAATGTAGCCAGCGAATTTTTATACCAATTAAAGCTACGCAATTAATTATAATAAACCGTAACTGGCAACGTCTATGTCAAGATAATTTCACCGACGATATTAGTACGTTCAAGGTGGCAGGTTATTTTGGTTATTTTTTAGAGAACAAAAATATCTCATATGGGGCAGACTTAAGACTGCAACAAAACCAGACAAAGTGAACATTTGATTATGTGACATAAATGAGAGGCAATTATGATGTGGCTATAAAATTGACCAGTGCGACTGATGACATTTTGAAAAGTAATAATGGTGCTTATAAAAATATTAATATGAAACTAATTTACATTAAATCCACTATGGAACCAAAGAATTACAGCACCATTAGAAGTATTTTAAAGAAAGCTCAAGGGGAAAAATTGCGCCTTATGTTTTTAAGATCAATGACACCCAAACACTCCAGATCAAGAAAAATTTACTTATGAAATTTACCAAGAAGAACGAAAAATAATAAACCATAAACAAACCTTAACCTCAACTTATAATAAACCAAGAAAAAAACGAAAATTAGAAGACAAGTAAGGGAAAACAATTTTCACGAGATATTGTTTGTTGAGCTTGATTCGTATTTTGCTTTTGATACAATTACAAGAGTCAAACGATATGTAAAAAATTTTTTGCGTAAGCATAAATTTATTATTTCGATTATTGAATGCGCGTTCTTAAAATATAAACAATAGTAAAAGCACCAGAGTGATTGCATGGGAGGAAAATACTCCAAAGCCATTTATGAGTATAACCTATTCTTTGGTCACTCTGGTGCATATTTAAATTTTATTATTTTTTTTATCATTGCTACTATTAATAACATTATTACTATTGTCTATTTCTTTATTTTCATCGTCTCCATCTGAGTGGTTTACATTTCCCTTCTTTTCTTCGTCAATCCAACGTTGAATTGCCTCGATAGTCTTTTTCCGTGGGGTTGTTCGTCGAAAATAAAAAATTTTGTATTGTGGAAGCAGCCACGGTCTTTCCGTTGCCAAGTAGGTTATGAATTTCAAACGCTATTTGATTAAATAAAAATTTTGAATCCAATTTAATTCTTTCGTCGTTGTATAATCGTTTCAGATAGTTCCACAACGTTTCGATATCTGGAATAAATTTTGTTCGCAGATGGTTTCGTTTTTGACAACATTCTGGACTTCATGGTCTTGGTTAATAGTCCCATGTTGTGGAGTTGGTTATTATAAATTATGCCATTGAGCAATAGGCCGAGAACGAAGCCAATAAATACTCCAAAAAAGAATTCGCTCGGGAAATTAAGCATTTTTCGTAGGGGAGTTGACAGATTTGTTTTATTGTTTTAAAGATGTATAATATTTATTGCGTTGTGATTGATTTTTGAATAAGTTAACTGTTTTATAATAAAATATCCGTTTGTTCATCATACACTGCGGACGATTATTAGACAAACGCGAATTTCTGTGCATTGACTATTACTGATCAACGTCTCACATTGCGCAGCGCATCTTTCCGCAGAATCAACAATGACAACCGTCGAAAAAGTCAACGAGGATATAAAAGAACTCGAAAAAAGAATCAAAGAGATTGAAACGAAACTTGGGTATGAGAATGGGATAAACCTTCTCACCCCTCTCTATAATGAAAAGGCACAGCTGCGATCGCAGCTAACTATACTCCTCGGGCAGCCAGGTAACGACTTTGTGACTCGGGCGTTGGGGACATAGAGTAGTATCAAAAATTTTGATGATGAAAATATTATTAATTATGCCGCCTCCGGCCTCATTCGAAATCGACACTGCATTTCTCGCTGCCATTAGCATCTGAGGGAAAAAGAAAGCTTATAGAGGACGGTAAGTGTGCTCTTCATTGTTTATGAAGCTTACTCAACTTGGCACTTATCTTTCTTTCCATCTTAGTGATGCCACGCAAGAGGATGATTCGAGAATTGAATAACCTCCCTGCACGCCAAGCCACATAAATATTTAGAAGAGAAAGAGATAGACCCACAGACACTTCCTCCTATCAACCACCATCGACCACACAACCTCTCTGATATTCCGATCCAGTTTTTCCACAGCATATTTGATAAGTTTCTCCGGATAGTAGAAGAGTTACGCAATCAGCAGGGCAATCTTGCAAAATACATAAGCTGGTTGAGGAATTGGCCCCAACAATCTCGGAACTTACGGAAGACGAAAAAGAACGAAATAATGTTATACGAAAGTTTATGAGGTACATCGGCATTAGCTTGGTTCCTATCGAGATATCCAACTGTCGAACGGATGGTACAATGCTGAAGAATACACCAAAAACAAGTTTTATGGTGTGCAACTTCAAGGGAAAAACGGATTATGAAATGGGGGCCTGTGCGTACCTACAAAATGCATGCTATTATGCGAAATTCCTTGGGGATACATGGACAGATTATGAGGATTTGTCCTTGCACACATGTTTCCCAGCATTTCTCATACTATTGGAGGGTAAACGTGTATGATTCTTTGCATCTTTTCCCTCGCTGATTTCTAAACTCTGGTTTTATTGTGTTATTTAGGCACATACCTATCAATCAGCAGTGGTGTATTTTCCAACGATCCTTGTGTTGATAGGCTTACAATGATTGTCCCACTTGATAGGGCAATCTATGATTCTGAAACTGTCAGATATGCAGCCTGCATACTTCAAGCCCTCAATATCTGTGTGCAAGATTTGGAACAATACTACAAGGATGTCATGTCAAACAAGCAGATCTCACTAGAGGTGTCAAACAGTGGTTTCCCCCGCATTTTGAAGGACATCCCACTACTGCAATATAAGGAGAGGCTCCCTGGGACATGTCTCTGGCTGGCTGATATGACAGATAGTAATAGCCAGCGAATTATCATGAAGTTCACATGCCAGTAATCGGAAGTCGCCCACAGGAAGTGTGCAAAACTAGGAATTGCTCCCATATTGCTTTCATCTCACAACATTGGCTATGATTGGTGGATTGTTCTTATGGAGTATCTCAAGGGGTTCACACCTCTTCACATGCTTGAAAATGATGACTTATCACAACTGAGACTGCAGTTACGTTGGCAGTGCAGAAGCTTCATGGGGCTGGCTTGGTTCATGGGGATCTACAAAGTCCAAATATTCTCTGGAAAGATGGCCAAGTGAAATTCATTGATTTTGATTGGGCTGGTGTGAACAGTGATGCTGCTTATCCAACAAGCATGAATCCCAACATAAATTGGGCTCCTGGAGTTGGTTTTTGCAAGCATATTAAGCCTGAACATGACATATATATGGTTGAATCAATCTACAAGAAGGTCTCACACACCAAACAGAATCTTTCTGAATGGAATCCACTTTACATAATTAAACATTACCAACATACATGATACATGGGACTTAGATATTCTGATTGTAAAGGCACATGTCTGATTGCTTTCTAATTCAAAACACTTCCATTCTGATATAATAAAGGAATCTTTGTCTTTTATTGCATTGATTTATTGCAGAAGTAGCTATACTTTAATTTGTTTAATTCACTGACAAAAATTTTTCAACAAAGATTTAAACTTACTGTCCCTAATTCCATTTTGAATAAGTCCAATTCAAATGACGTCCAAAGTGAAAATGATAAAAATTATATATAGGATTATCCATATATGACAAATAGTGAATACAATGGCTCTACTGAATATGAAAAAGCAACACGTTTCCTGGAGATAGGTTGCAATTGTGGTTGTTCAAAAACGATTCTAAGAGAAAGTTTGCCGAATTACGTGAGGCGTTTCAAGCTCTCGTTAGATCAGAACAAGACATATTTTTAATGGCCCAACTGAAAGTAATGAATGGTGGAGAAATAACTGCCAGTCGACGTCTTAAAAGGAAAACGCGTACTAATAAGAGAACTTTTTACTATTGAGATCGTAATACACTGCTTTGTCAAAAAACGTATCTCAACATGTTGGGAATCGGTCGCACTCACTTCGAAAACGTCGGGAATCACTTAGCGACGAATGGTATAATACCGCGCGTTCATGGTAATGTAAAAAGAGTGGCACGATGAAAGACCAAAATAACTATTGATATAACCGTTGCTACTGCCGTGAAGAATTTTCTCGAAAACTATGCTGAAATTCATGGGTTACCAAGTCCTGTTAATCGCATTACTCAATCGCTTACATTATTTCCAGCCGAAACGAGTTACAAATTGGTCTATCGTGACTTATTGCAGGTCTTGAGAACGATAACACGTTGAAATTGTTAAAATATGACGCATTTCGCAAGTTATGGCATCAATTAACGCCTTATGTTCAAATTATGAGTCCAAGAACGGATTTATGTGACACGTGCGGAATGGCTTACAGTATAATGCTCGCAAGGAAGAAGAAGCGAAAGATTTATTAAAAAAGTACAAAGAACATTTAGTTAAGGCTAAATTAGAGAGAAATTATTACAACAAAAATACGAAGTTAGCAGAACAACAGAGAAAATTGGTAAACGAGTATTTTATAACAATAGGTAAAGCTTATTATAGCATTGACGCGACTGCGCATTACAGTTACGATTGAGCGCAAAACGTT